ATCATGTTAAAGGCAAAACAAGTGAGACTAATAATTCATAAATGAACTCTTTTATTTATAATGTAATCTCATGAACTAAACTTTGATCATTAAGATGGAAAAGTAAATTTCACTAGTTAAACTAATTCTTAAGAGTTAATATATAATATATTACAAAAAAAAAATGTTATGATAAAAATTTAATTAAATCATAAAAAGAGAAAATTTACAAATGCACTTAACACCTATGGTATAGTTGATATATAATAAATTAAAAATAAATTATTAGCTGGTGAGATGAGAATAGACATAGGAGACAACATTGAACTAGTTAAAATAAATTAGGATATTGTTTTGTCCTGAAAATTGACTCATCCAGTGAAACAAAATGGAAAAGATTAAATGTCTGTGTCAAAATGTCAAATTAATGGTAAAGCAAGATATACCACATTCACATTTCCATTATTAGGTCACCATCTTAGGCCAATTACATTTACACAAATTTTCACAATTGGATTGATTTCAAAATGGACCGTCTAATAAAGTAGGAAAACAGAAAAAAACAGGTCAAAACAAATAGGAAAGATTTTTTATGTGGGAGCCAAAAGACACACAGGTTCTTCATTTGACAAGTAACTAACGATTTAGATATTTCAAGCATTGTTTAACTAATTGTAACAGGACTTAAACATAATGTAATACAATTAAACGTATTTTAGCATAATATTCAATATTTATATTAAAATATAATTAGTTATATTTATTATATTTTATTAAATAAAGATAAGTTTATATAAAAAAAAAAAAGAAAAAAAATTAGTACATGCATGTACAGAAGAGGAGAAAAAGGATACGGAATTTAGCGTCTGAGCGATGAAGCTATCAGATTAGCTGGTGGGCGGTGACCCGTTTTTACACGCTCTAATAGGTCCAATCAGACACCAACCATGTGATCTATACATCCAACGATTTTCCTCTCTTCATGCAATTCTTTTGAGACAAAAAAAAAAAAAAAAAAAAAAGAGGAGAAAAAGGATACGGAATTTAGCGTCTGAGCGATGAGCTATCAGATTAGCTGTGGGCGGTGGACCCGTTTTTACACCGCTCTAGATAGGTCCAAATCAGACCACCAACGCAAATGTGAATCTATACATCCAACGATTTGTCCTCTCTTCATGGGCAATTCTTTTGAGAAAAAAAAAAAAAAAAAAAAAAAAAAAAGGAAGAAAAAAAAAGAAAAAGAACTTTTTTTTAAAGTTTTAATATGAATAAAAAATTAAAAAATTACATTACAATTTATTAAAATGTATCTAACCAATGATATACAAAAAAGTGATGTAAAATAGAAATTTAAAAATTTATTTAAAAAAAATATAGAAATAATTTATACATACAATGAAAAAAAAAAGAAAAATTTATTTTTTTAAACTACATAATTTGATGTCAGTGATACTATAAATCATATTTGCATATAATATACATAATGTGAAGTCATTTATTGAATGCATTTAAAGGTGAATAAGTGAACTTTTTATATGTAATAAGAAAAATACAGTGCTTATAATTGTGATTTGATGAGAGGAGTCCAATTTGGATTGGGCCCAACAAACACACGACGTGTGATTTTGTAAGCACAGAACATGCGTGGCACTTACATTACACCATCTAATAATCATATAAAATTTCAATTTTTTTTTTTTTTTTTATTTTTGTAAAGAACAGAGAACATGCCGTTGGCACTTACGTTACATCAGTGCTAATATCATATAAAATTTCAATTTTTTTGTTTTTTTTTTGGTAATAGATAAATTTCAATATATTTTTGAGAATATCATTTAATACAACTTCAATTTTTTTTTTTTTTTTTGGTAATAGAAATTTCAATTATTTTTGAGAATATCATTTATACAACGCTGCTATACATAATATAATAATATAAGTCAAAACATAACATTATTTTTTACGAGTTGAATAAATAAACTGTGTTTTACGAAGGAATTTCTAAATCTAAGCAATTAATTATATATTTATTTATTTATTTTAAAACTATGGAATTAAGAACCGGATGAAATTTATTAAATTCATGGATTATTTTCTTTTTTTTTAATCAAATAAAATAATCTGGCAAATCCATGAAACCAAAATTACTGTTTCTGATAATATCTTATTAATTACATTTATTTATTAAGTTTGATAGATAGAATTAATATGCATTTATTTATAATTACGCAAATATTTAGTTTGTAAATTCCTTGTTTATAATTGTGCATGTTCCCAAATGGGCTTAACACTGTTTTTTAGACTGGGAGTTGGAAATAAACAAAACCTAATTGAATGATAATGTGCAATTTGATATTAGATTTGGGCCTAACATGTCTCCGGAATAAGAAGGTGAAGGCTTCTCATCTTTTCTCCCTGCTAAAACTGTATTTTCTGGAGGCAGCATCAGAAGCTCAGGTGTTATTACTTGTCAATAATATATATATATATATATATGGTCCCAAAAATAACTTGAAGCATATAATCACCAGCTTCAATTGGAACATTTTGTCTTGTAATAAAATGAAATACAAGTACTATGCAACTGAAAATATACTCAGATCAGACGGACACAACCCACTCTCTCTCTTTTTGTTTTTCTTTTAATATTTAGTTGCAGAGTGGTGAATATTCTCTGGCAGTTTAATTTCTCTGGTGTTATTGATGACAAAGATTTGGCTTTGTACACTTTTCATTTTTTATTTTGAATATTATGTTAAGAGGAAGAGTAACTTTTTTTTTTTTTTTTTCTTTTTGATTTGCTTATTGTGAATCTTTCATCTTAACTAATCAAAAGATGTGTTCTTGGAAGAGCTTTAGTTAGGGTTAGTAACCCATGTGGCACCCATCTTGAAAACTTCAATATGTCTAAATTTTATATGTCAACCGGCAAGAAAAGTGTAGTATTTTCTAATTAGTTTTTGACGGCTAATAATTTTGATTAACCTTTTGAACTATACTAATAATAATAATAATAATAATAATGTCAATTTTTGAACCCATAAATTAAATTTTAGTGATGAATCAGTAATTTTATTGAACATTAGAAATATGATAATAATTTCGATTAAAATTTAAAAACTAAAAGAAGTTAATTAACCAAGGATAACTCAAATTTATGTAATTTTTAACCAAATAAAAATATAATAGAACAGATTATAATTCTTTAATAAAAATTTAGTGTTATTAACCAAAGGGTAATTTCAATTTCAAGAGCCAAAAGGCAAATGATCAAATAGCGAGTCAAATATAGAGCCGCCCTAAGCTCTCTGCAAGCTAGCTAGTAATGTAGGTTAGTGGTGAGTGTCTTTGCAAGAAACTAGGCCTCAGACAAGCATGAGATGACATTACAAAAGTGAAGAGAAAAGGGGGGGAAAAAAAAGAAAGAAAAGAAGAAACTGACTCGTTATACATAATTTGGAGATGAGAAGCAAGTGTGCTTGTTTCTTTAGAAAATTTTTGTCTTTTTAACTATCATCAATCAATCGTTCAATCTCAGAAATTAAAAAGAAAATATCAATAAGAATCTGAAAATTCTGACGTGAGACACTCTTTTCTGGCAGAATAACAGCAACAACACTGATAATCATCTTTTTGTTTTTGTTGAGGTGTTGGTGGGCTCCATTACAACTCAAACAAAGGGTTTCCCTTGATGGATTATTTGATAATATTGGTATTTAATAACATCATTTTTCTAAGCATTCTTTAACTTATTTAATTTTTATAACCTCAAACTTAGATATTGAGTTTAAATTGACAATTTAGTATATTTAATAATGAGTCGATATGACTTAACTCTACTTGGGCGAGACTTGAGATAATGGGCCATTTCAAGGAAGAAGGAATGATTGAACGGTGAAGATTGATTGGACGGATAGATCAAATATAATCATATAATGACATTGTTGGGTCACCTATCTATCTAATCTTGCAAGCATGCAGAGAAAGAAGAAAAGGCAAGGAGTAACAGTTGAAGCAACAACGAAACTTTTGGTTAATATCATCTCATCTCCTATTGTCATTTGTCATCAGAATACAAAAATCCCTTATTACGTCATCTCTGAAACCATGTTCTTAGGAAAGAGTGAGAAAGAGAGAGAAATATGGGTGATGGTGGTAGGCTCAAGTTAGGTGTTAAGGCTATATTTTTTAGATACAAAATGTCAGAAAATACAATCAGTATGCTTAGGTCAAAAGGCCTATGCATTATCCTGTGGAATATTACGAGTAGAATCGTGTAGTGTGCATGGATTCCGGAGGATCGTAGCACCAGTAGTAACAGATTTTATGTGTACCACTTCCATGTTTCACCTTATTAATCACTGGATATTGGGATGGTCTCAAATAACGCTTCTGTTTTACTGCTTTTGTTTATTGATTATAATAATTAGATTTAGTTTTGATTCCATGATCGGACTACTCAACCTCCCAACACGTTCCATGCGTCAACCTGACTTATACTGATTAATTTAATTTTGTTAGTCCTTTTCCTTTTCTACATTTGTTTCTTACATTTCGACATATAATGTCAAAACAGTTGCGTTAACCAAAATTGTAGCAGCAATCGTTACATGGAGGAGGCCAGGTGGTCCAAGTGATACATACTCAAAATATGGAGCTTTTGGACTGTTGATAAGGTCTTGATCTAAAAAGTTGTAATATAACCTAATAGACCAGAAAAGAAAAAAGTGAAACATTTCTCATGCTATTTGGATACCATCAGAACAAATATATTGTACATAGTATAAATGTTCAATGGTCAAAAAATTAAGGAGAAAAAGAGAAAAAAAAAAGGCCTTGGAAAAAATAGGAAAGCAGGTTAACATGGAGAACAACACACAAATTCCGTAATATGTATTGCTCCACCATCATCGGTATTATAGTAAATTGGTGAAGGACGATGCTGCGGCCACTACACATTGTCTCCCAAATTGCCTATAACATATTTTATATATTGCGCCAAACCATTTCAGCAATTTGCATTGCAATTCAAGACAATAATTAGGAAATAATACCAATATCACCAAGGGCCATCGCAGGACGTCGAGAGAAGAAAAAAAAAAAATTTTATTACTGCATCTTAATTTACTTACAGGGATTTCACGAGATACCCATACTGCGCACACCTGCAGTTGGGGATATAAATCCCCCAAAAAATTGGAAAAGAATTGATGATAAGTTTGAACTTTTAATCAAGCTGATCAGCAGGGACTTGGCCAAATATATCAGGACATAAATCCCAATTGCCCTCTTCTCTTGCCTCCCAATATCCACCAGTATATCGATATCCATCACTTCCTTTATCCTTTGCAAACCAACGTGGCTTCCAACCTCTTTCTTGCATCTTCCGAGCCTAATTGAAATTTTCAACCAATATAAATCATCAATTTCCATCATAATAAGAAATGGTTTGTCATTTTATAAAAAATAACAATGCGTTTATTCACCTACATCTTAAGTGAAATGATAAAATAATAGCCATGGTCAACTTGTTTGGGTTTGAAACATTAACAACACCTATTGGAGCAAGAGCAAGTGTTATAGCATTCTCGTGAATTGTAAGTTCCGATTCCCAGACCTCATGAAACCTAAATTTGTTATACATCTTTCTTCTCCAAGTCCAACGTTTAAGTTACATGTGTGCTCAGTCATGGAATTAATATAGAGAGAGAGATAGGCTACCTGGCGTTGCCGTTGCTCAAGCCGCAATTTCTCTGCATTTGCCATTTCATATTCACCATTTTCCAAATACCTTTGATCTGGTCTAAGCCTTGAATCCGTAGGCGGCAATTTTTCCTGCACGAGAATGAGAAAAATTCAATGTTGCAATGAACTACACAAGCCACCAACAAAGTAAAAAACTGTTCAATTTGTGTTTCAAGACTAGTGTTTCATGTTCTTTCAAAAGTTAGGGACCATCTGACAGTTGACTCTCAGCATGCAAATGTCAAGAAAAACTGCAATTGCAAAATGGAACAGTACTAATGCAACATCTATCCAGTTTTTCACTCCAGTATAATGTGCTGGGATACTTGGTTAGACAAGCAGGAACTATCACCTTAAGCCCAGGGGTGAGCTCATTCAATGTTATGGCGAAGCGAGTCAAGTTATATCTAGTGGGAAATTGAGGAGGCTTGCTTCTCTTCCATAGCAGATGAGCATCTTTTAAAGATTCGTATCCTTTTCCCTTCGTAGGACAATCACCATTCACATAATGCATGCTCTCATCCCACTTTCCAAAAAGAGATGCCACTCTTTTACCACTCCTGTCTTGAACTATTCCTTGCACCTACAAAAACAACACAGTTCACACAAAATACCTTTTCATTTTCAAGTAATATAGCAACAAAGTTATCATTTCCAATCAAGTATCCCACACCATAAAAAGTAAATTCTACCAATATTCTGAATATTCTGCTTCTGCATGACAATGATAAATATTGGCAGGTTGAGGCATAGTAAACATACATCCAAATACAGTAATACGACACTGAGCAAAATTTAATCCATGAACATCACAGCTAAATTAAGACAAAAAACATCAGTCTTATACACCAAATTGATTTAAAAGCAGGCAATACTATAAGCAAAGTCTAAGAGTAGATGCATGAAAAAAGGTTGTCCTAGGACAGAACAATTACTAGGGAAAGAAAGCACACCTGGTGAGGATTTCGGTCTATGATGGACTGCTCCTTAAATTTCAGTTTGCATGAATAATCACGATTTCCATCAATTCTCATGGTACCATAGTGATCACAGTACAGCTTTCCCAATATGAGATTGTATATTGATGTTGTAACCTAACATTTTAAAACAACCAATTTCAAACTGGAACCTGACAAAAAAAACAATATGATCCGAGTAATCATACCTTACTCCATTGAAAAACTTCTCCATCATCAAATTCTAAAGTCAAAACGCCAACAGGATCTAGCTGAATTGAGCGACCCCAAAATTTGCTTTTTAAATTGCTATCTCCCCAGAATTTCCATCCTATACCCTCACAATGGCATGCAACAACCATAGGGTGATGACTGACCTGACAACAGTAGTAAGCTTCTTGATACATTGATTTAAATGGGGAAAAAGAAAAGGAAAAACTAAGCCAAAACAAAAAAGGTGCCAAAGTTATAATTGACAATAATTTTCTATATTGCAGAACACACTAGCAGTTGTTCTTCATGTACCTTGAAATGTAAAAGCATCAAGCCAAATTTCTCCACCCAAACAGGAGACTCATCCCTTTGGTACTCCGCCAGCAAAAGATATTTGTTCTAGTCTAATAAACAACTATAATTTTTATTCTTAATATTATCATTTTTCCCCTCTGAATGATCTATTTTCTTTACTGTCTTTTTTCCATCAGATTGTCACAAAGATTGAAATTAATATCATTCTATGTTTTTTCCTGAGATCGTGAACAACCCAAAACAATAACATTACCATAAAAAAATTGTCCCTCTTCAGATTTGTACCAAAACTACACTGGCCCTACCTCACCCTTTGGTGAAAAACCATGGTCATGTACTGATACTGCAACGAAAAGATACAATGCACTAAGAATGAGTTCAGCCCACAATCAAATAGCAGTTAACTGAACTTTGTTCTTAAGTTTAGGATGGGCTTTGCTCAGGCTCAATATCGTATAATTGATTCAGATAAGCACAAAGATCACTAAAGAATAGATCATAGAGCCGATGCTAACCTTCTCAGAGAAAAAACGTATGCCTTTATCTGGATAGTCAGCCTCATATGTTTCCCCTAATAATGGATTGAATGGCTTGCAAATTCGTCCCTCAGTCGAAGCATAACCAGATACAGCAAAAGCGGCCACATTAAGAATCCTCATAAGACTATTACCCTACAGCAGTTGAAAAAATGCAAATGCATAAGCCAAAAAGTTGTACATTCTATTGACAGCCTCATTGGCTACATAATAATAAGATGCCATGCAATAAGGGGATGATCTCAACTACCGTCAATTCTCCCATGGGCCAAAACTGCTCCATTAATTTTTTAAAAATTACTATATTTCCCTGACTCTCATTCAATGGGTAATGAAAAAAAAAAAATTACTGGAGAAGTAATAATCATTTAAAATATACACAGTCCATAAAAGAAAAAAGGACTTTGTACAAATGAAAGCAATAAAGAAAAATAGAATCAGAGAAGTTAGTATAACAAAATAAAAAGTAGGGAGGTCCTAAAGAATTGGAGGAAGCAAAGATGTAAAATAATTCTACTATCAAGGAAAACTTACCCTCCTTCCCCATTCATATGCTCGGTCAAGGAGGTATGAATATTCCAAATCCTCAAAACATTTTTGCAGAGAAGAGAGAGGTTCATTAAAGTAGACAGGGAGACAAACTTTAGTTAGATCCTTCCCAATATTATCCTTAATCATTGACCAAAGGCTGATTCCTTTCTCTTTCTCAACTGGGTCAGGTAACTTCTTACGCCGCTTAACATAAGGATAATTTTTCCCAACAGTTCTGATGGAAGGATCAATTTCATCTTCTGATTCAAGTGCATAAAGACCTTCATCGTCAGAAGAGAAAGATGATGTCCGAAAATCAGACCCACTGCTTTTGAAGGAACCTGATGATAGAAAATCACGAGTATCAAAGAAAGTGTTCTCATCGTCATCGGTTTCTTCCTCTGCAGCATCAGCTCTTTCATTTTCATCATCAGTTTCACTTGCACTAGCTTCTGGAGTGAAAACCAAGAAAAATTAAAATAATTCAACTATCACACATTATTTTACTATTAAAATAATGCATCCAAGATTATTAGAGAAAAAGTGCCCTGTGTTGTTCAGCCTATCAGCTTAGAATACTCTTCAGATTCCAAGTAAACATTGACACTTCTAACAAAAGAAATTGCATTTACCAATTGCGTAGCAAATATTAGTTCTATATTAATTTTACATAGGTAGCTAGGTGAAAACAACAAGCATAGTAAGAGATAGCCAAGTTGTCTTCGCCACTAATAAATTCAGGAGACTAACTTAGTCAACTAGAAATACCAAGTAGTGATAACCCAAATAAGAAGGATGGTTTAAACATCAATCAGATGTACCATGGTACACTCGCTGATGTTAATGAAACATCCAAATCATAGCTGATGTTAATGAAACATCCAAATCATAGGCATTAACTTGTAAAATTAATACTTCATAATAAAATTTCATTGCATAACCACTTACCACTGGACTTGTCTTGTCTTGAGAGAGAAGAAGCCCCTTGATCATAGAACTGTCTTTGACTCTCATCAACTACTGTATTTTCCAGGTCAACCTTTTCTGTCTACAAAATACAATAAGTAAAAGCAGTTCCTCAGCAGAACTTGATAAAAAGAGATGGAGAACTTGAACCAGAAACAGATGTAGACATTTAATTGAGGCATTCATATGTAAATAAAATTGAATTTCTAAATTAGATTGTTCATAAGTTGAAGGAACTAGAGAATATAACGCATCAAAAAGATACGATGGAAAAGGGTACAGATTGATAAAATAGCAAAGGGAAACAATGAGGATAAAGAAATATGCCGACTCAGTTGCAGTAAAAAATTAACCTTCATTTGAATTAAAAGGTTGAGAAGAATAAAATGTTTCATGCAATTTGAGGGAAACAATGAGGGATAAAGAACATATGCCCGACTCAGTTGCAGTAGAGAAGAATAAAATGTTTCATGCAATTTGAGGCACTCAATTACACTCCCATGTGAGAGGATAAACTCCAATAAAATTTTCTACAAAGATAAGTTCAAGACTTTGATATGCCACATCATAAATAAAGGAGGCTGATTATCTAGTGCACCTATGATACATGTGCTGTTAAGTACCTTATGAACATCTATGAAACATATTAACCTTCCATTTGAATTAAAAGGTTGGAGAAGAATAAAATGTTTCATGCAATTTGAGGCACTCAATTACACTCCCATGTGAGAGGATAAACTCCAATAAAATTTTCTACAAAGATAAGTTCAAGACTTTGATATGCCACATCATAAATAAAGGAGGCTGATTATCTAGTGCACCTATGATACATGTGCTGTTAAGTACCTTATGAACATCTATGAAACATATTAACCTTCCATTTGAATTAAAAGGTTGGAGAAGAATAAAATGTTTCATGCAATTTGAGGCACTCAATTACACTCCCATGTGAGAGGATAAACTCCAGTAAAATTTTTTACAATGTTAAGACCAAGACTTTGATTTGCTACATCATAAATAAAGGACGCTGATTATAAAGTAAACCTATGATACGTGTGCCAGTAAGTACCATATGAACATCTATGAAACATAAGTGGTGCCTATACACAAAACTAAGTGCTAAGAGCCTCATTTACTGTTTTAACATATATTGTCTAAAACAATAAAAGGGTGGAAAGAAAGAAGATTGCCACTATACCATCCTAGAAGCACCATGGCATCAAGTTTTCAAATGTTTTCTGCCTAATATCCCAGCAAAACAGCAGAAGTCACAATGGTGGACATTTTAATTGCAATAAATCAAGCCTTCTAAATACGTATTTATTATATCTATTGAAAATAAACACAAGATTGAAGGGAGCACACAGAAAATCCCACTTGGGGGATTTATGTTTGGATTGAAGACTTTGAAATCCATGTAATTTGTCAAAATTTCATGGAATTAAAAACATGGTTTTTTACTTACATGGATTTCTATAATATTTCTTGCGAAAAAATTAAAATTAAAGTTAGAGATTCAGCAGAAACCTAGCTCCCATATGAGGGCTTTTGAACAATCAAAAAGATTTTACCATGTTTTTGTTGCATCAAATGAGAGATTCATACCAAATCTATAGATTGATCAAAATGCCTCATAACAAGCTAAGCTGATGATCCTTTTTTCACATTTTTTTGAGATGGATCAGGCAACATCCAAAAGAACCAATTAGAAAAGGTCACTCAAAATGCCATAAACAGGTTAAACATACTTCCAAAACAGAAGAAACACTTTTAGCTGGATGGCAGCTAAAAAAAATTATAAGGTATTTCATAAACAATATAACAGGAACAATAAGCCAACCTCCAAAAATGGTGGGTGATCCTAAATTAATAATGACAATAATAATAAGTCTCAACAATCTACTGAAATTCACAAGTACACGAGTTTTTATCAAACCTTGTTTTATTCCTGATAAAAATGCACATTGTACATGAAAAATACATTCAAATCCAATGTCCCTTCTATATCATCTTAAAACGCACACAAAGCTATGAAACTAGCTTAATTCAGAACACATGATTACAAGATTGTTACTGAAGCTCATTCCTTGTTTAAAAAAAAAAAAAAATCTCCATAACATAGCTCATCAAGTGACTGCAACTCTCAGTAAAGTCACGTGGACTACCAGGACTATATTTGCTGCTTCAAACAATCTCTCCAAATATATTCCCGGCATAACTACTATTGACAATGGAACTCAACCACCTCACATCTCCCACCCAAATACGATCACTGTCACTTTTTTCACATCCTTCACCGCCTTATCAACCAAATTATCATCAATTTCTATATACTACCATGTCAGTAGTTATTGGCAAAGCACATAATGCAAGAGTTTGCAAATTTGTTTTATATAGATAGCCAACTTATCGCAAATTGAGAAAAAACAATAAATAATTTCAAATTTTGATTTCAGTCAAAAAATGATACTCGTAACAACTGTTAGAGGAGCTGATATACATGTAAACACTACAAAAGTTTGTGCAGGCACCAACAGCATGCGTATTAGAGGAGACATTACAAGTAGATACATAAAAAAAGGCCTATGTTCAACCTACATATACTTGTCACCCTGATGTTCTACAGTAAAAGCTACCACTTGCATTTTCTCAGGCTAAATAGTAAATAAAATAAATTTCTCTTCTAAACCTACAAACAGCACTAAGATAGAGAAACCAGAATTATAGATTTAAGACTAATCATGTGACCACGCAAATCAAACATATATCAATTACTGATTATTACTTTCAAAAAGATACACGGATATCCAACTCGCAACCTTCAAATAAATTATGGATACGAAGTAATCCTAAATGGAATAAAATGTTTACAACTCTGCACACTGGCAAAAATGTAAACCAATCAAAGAACAACTGTGCCTTCCAAACTTATATTTACTTAAATGGTCTAAAAAATTCATATGGAATTTGCAATATTCTCCATAGTAGGAAGAAAAAATGTAGAAGAATAAGTAGGAGAATTAGTAGTAGAAGAATTCCGAATTCAGAATGGCATGTTCTTTTCTACTTTTCATTACATGTACCTCTAACTGGCGCAGGGTGTCGATGAGGAGCCACTGCTTCTGCTTAAGTAGCACAATCTGGCTCTGAAGCGACGCAAACTCATTCCTCATGATCTGCTCGCTATCCAGGATCGCCTCCTCTCTCACTCCCTCTTCCTCAAGCCGCTGCCTCAGCTTCTCGGTGGAAATGGTAACTTTTTCTATAGGCGCCATTAGCTCGCTATTGGACATGCGAGGGAACATGTCCTTCACTGCCTGCAATGCTTCCATCCACGCTAAACGATCATCCCGCGACTCCGCTCTCAAATGGAGCCTCTTCGTTCCGGTGAAAATCGAGAATCTCTTATCATCTGATCTGCTTTCGCGGATCGACGATACCTATAAAAATAGATCGAAGTTTAACTATATAAATAACGCAAGTAAATTGAAATTCAATAGAAAAAAAAAATGACAATCAATTTATGGATTGATAGACAAGGACCTTGAGATGGATTTCGCCGACCGGATTGCGCTTAGGCTGAGGCTGAGAGTAACCATTCCTAGGCCTCGAGATCATTCTCATAGATTCGTCACCGATGACTTTGGATCCTTTCTCTGTCTCTCGATTAACAACGATCTTATCAGGTCCATGAATCTTATAATATGACAACACGCCGTCTTGTAAAACGAACCACCTAGGCCTCCAGCCTTTCCCGTAATTCACCCACTTATACAGAATGCCCGATATTCCGTTCCCTACTATGTCATTTATCCTCACATCCACCTGCTGCTCTCGCGGCAACGACAGCGAATTCGCCGTCACTGCTGCCACGGCGGCCGCCAATCGCTGGCTCGGCCGGCTGGCGCTGTTGATGCTTATGAGATTGCCGTTAATACAATCGGTGCCGTTGTTATTGTGATTTAAAAGAAGATTCTGTTGGTTATGGTTGGATGTGAGAGATCGGGTATTCGGGTCGGATCTAGAAGTGATTGCCATAGGAAGGTCCGGTAACGTCTTGGCGGAGGAATGATCGGAGACGGTGGATATACAGCAAAAATGATGCATAGGAAAGGAAAATTCAGACTACACGGAGAATAAACAGATCATGGAAGACCATATTGAAAACCTTTTTCATATTTTTTGTTTTCTTTTCTTCTCTTTTGGCTTTTGAGGGAGAAACGGGAGCCTAAGAAAAACCAAAAGAAAACGGTTAGAGAGAAATGGCGTGAAGTAGAAGGGAAGATTGATTCTGTTAAAACGATTTATGGCTTCAAAGGGCGAGAATGTAGAGAGAGAAAGTGAAATAAATAGCGATAAGTTCGGTGGAGAAAGAATGGAAGGGAAAGAGAGAAGGAATCCAAATTCCAAAACCCGGGTAACAAACAATTGAAGTCAATTGAATTGTTTTGTTGTTTTGAGAATTGAAATTTTTGATAAAAAAAAAAAAAATCAGATGTATGTATGTATATAAGTAATGCGGGACACGGGAGGCAGTTTAAAATGCGAAGCGGTTGGTTGTGTTACTATGACTTAATGACTCTGTCTTCCTGGCACTCCTTCCCCGTCTCCTTTTTAGGAGGAGTTTTGTTTGTATGTGGGCAGATACAGGTACAAAGTTAGGGATTCGCCGCCGGCGTGTTTAGATAGTGACATAGAGGTTCAAGATGTTAACACGTGGCGTGATTACAGTATGTGAACGTGTGTTGGGGGTGTTTGACGGGAATTGAGCGAAGGAATCAGAAAGCAGAACGGAACTCCGTGGTCCTAATCCTATCCGATTTAAATCCCGGTCCAGTGAGGATCTTCCCGGTTAGAAAATCCCCCGTTTTTACTTTAACTGGTAATGATGAATATATTTAAAAAATATTAATATTATATATTTTTCGTATTTAAAAACAATTTATCCAGGAACAACTTCAATCTATTTAATTAGCTAGATATTGATGAATAATTTTTTAATAAAATTTCAATATTGGTTGAACCAAACTAAAATAAAATTATTTCATGTATTTTTTAAATATGAAAATTCTTGGATAATAATTTACAAAATTACATAGTATTCACTTAATTTATCTATCAATATAAATATATAAGGCTTAACATGAGATTGAACTATTTAACCATAATGGTTAGATTTAGAGGTGTAGTTGTCCCAAGCCGATGGCTTTCTAAGAATTTGTTTGATATCATTTTATTTACATACTAAAAAGTTACATTTAGAAAACACAGACTGACAAAATAAGTAAAAGATCACCATTTTATGGACCTTGTGTATTGCCATAACCTATTTTTCTAATTTAAATTATTAACACAGCATTCTTTCGCTAATGGAAAACAAAACAAAAAACAATTTTTTACAAATTCGCCTCTAATTTATAAATAAATATTTTTTATATTCAAAATTATAAACTTTGATTTTTTTTTTTCCCATAGATATATCAATGCATGGGACCAGGGGAAGGGAAGCGGGAAGATGGAGTCAAATACAAACAGAGTTTATGATTTACACGAGGAAGAAGGGAAAATGATTTGCGATATACAATTAGTTTATTTTTATTTTTTTAAAATACATTAATTTTTCTTTATATTTACTTCCGTCGCACTATTAGATTCTTTTGTCTAACTTTTATATATTTTTCGTTAAGTAAACAAAAAAACACAGAGGTTAAAGAAGAGATATTAAAATATTATATCAGAAAAATTACAGTGCAATTTCTAGAGTTTGAAAAATACAATTAATTCGTCCCGTGTTTTTTAAAACAATGATATTTTCATCATTTCATAAGGTATTTAACAAAAAAAATATGCAAAAATTGAATGAAATGACCTTATAGTTGATAGAAGTAAAATATAATGACATTTTAATTTATTTTTTAAAAGACAGAGACGAACTAATTGCATTTCACAAATCACAAGAATTGTACTGTAATTTTCCTATAAGTAAGCTTGAACCCAAATTTTAAACTTTAAATGAAATATAAACAAATTAAATTTTCAAATGAATTATATTTTAAAACGCACTAGAAAACACAGCGTTACTTTGATACTTCTTAGTTCTTGCAAGTCACACCTCACCCAAATAGAGATTTATAGGAATTTTCGAGGACTTTCTTTTTGTCATTGAAATCTTATTCCTAATGTCTTCAAAATATTCTCTAATGAATAATTTTTTACATGGTACGTATTCATTGTATATTAAAACCGTGTAACATCATGACTCCTTAAAACAAAGCCTAGCCAATTAGGTCAAATTCTTTTTCTCCAAAAAAAGAAAAAAAGGATCAAATTCTTCAAAATTGAAAATTCTATTCTTGATCATTGTCTCCGATGAATCCGCCAACTTGATGCCATTCCAATTCTCCCTATCTCGGACATAAAATATAACAATCCAGGTTTGTGAAAAAGGTGCATTTTAATGGAATAAAATGACGCACGGTAATAATAATAATATAATACGAAAAGGGTGTATCTCAGCGTGTCATTGGATATTATTCATTTTTTTTTTTTTTTTTTTGTGATATTATTCATATTTTTTTTTTTTTTTTATTTTGGTTTAACTAGAGGTATTTCCAGATTCCGCTGAGTTAAATTAAAATTCTGTTCAACAAATTTATCGAATCGGTTCATATTAGAAAAGTAAAATACTCCTCACAGTATTTAAAATTATATCTATTATATCAAATCTTCAAATTTTCATTTAAAAGAAGAAGAGATATTCAACCACTTATCACCATACACGCATCTGGTCCTACTATTTAAGCAATGCAAACACCCTGTTGAAGTAAATCCTCACCTTACATTAGTAAGACATAAAAATAACGTGGTTAATGGAGTATGAAGATGCCCTTAGACTAGCAAGATGATATATTATTTTTGGATAAAACTGATTATCATAGTGTTAACATAGAAAAAATATTAGTAGAAAAAGCAATCATCAGTTAAAAATTTTTAGACAAAGAAAATTAATAATTAATGTTTGTAATAAATATTGATTGTTATGAAGTAGCCGTTAGGTGTTGCTAATCAGGCTGTTTTTACAAGGCAAAACTGGTTAGAGATGTTAGCAAGCATTTGAAAGTAAAATTATTTGAATAAAACAGATAAAGTGTTTGAATTAGGTGGTTAGACTTAAATAACAGAAAATGAAATTGTAGAAGTTGAACGTTAAAAATTTTAATTTTTAAATTCTATGGCTATAAATCTAAGATGCACTCATAATAAATAATAATAAAGAAGAGATGGCCATATAGTAGGGAATTTGAAGATGGAAGCGCACTTGGTTGAAAAAACATGCCATCTTTTTCCGAAAAAAATGATGTAAAGGAAAAATTAACAAGGTGGTATTAATAATTAATTAATTAAAAAACCAAAAAGGCAAAGCTATATAGCTCTAGAATTGGTGACTTCCTTGCCTGTGCTCTAAGCCATCTTGTTTTGAATACATAAGTTGTGTATGTTTTTTTTTTTATATAAAGTGTTTAAAAAAAACAATAGGTTTTATTGAATTAGAAAATGAATTGGCATAACAATGTTAAAAATAACATAAAAAAATGATTTGTTATATTGTTTTTCATCGCAATTTTATTTTGTCTATCATAAAAATAAAAAGTAAAAAACCAACTAGGACATAGTTTTAATTAGTTTTTTCTTCGACATCTTGTAAAAACATAATAAATGGTAAGTAAAATCGAATCAATCTCTAGGCCACATAAAAGTTAAATGCCCTCGTTGCTACACAATCAGTCTAGCAAAACTCATCCGATTCATCAGGACTTTCTATATATTCAAAAAGAAAAATTAAAATAAGAATATGAGAATCGATATTCAGGATTAGTTAACATAAATGCCAAGTCCATGTTAATAGTAGTGATGGTTAATTTACCAGGCCAGTTGCGGGCTGAATCATGCAGTATACAGTGGAAGTTTTGATGGCTATTGGCTTGAACGGTAAGAGAAATAATTGCGGTATGCACTGCAGTCAGTCCTGTTCATATATAATCCGCTCGGCGAAGAACATAGTGGTGGCTTAGCTTATAAGAAAGTTAAGACTTTAATTAATATTTCTTTTCCAGATTGAAAAATTTCTTATGTTATACAAAATTAATTGATTTATTTTTTCTGAAATCTAATATATTTACCTTTAAAACTAGGGAGGCTGGAATTTTAAGAAACTATATGAGCACTCCTTGAATAATTTTTATTTTTTATATATAATTTTTATTAAATTTTGTTTATAAATTTCTTAATGTAATTTAAATATTAAGAATTTCAAGAAATTAAGTTTTAAATCATAATAATAATATAATAAATATAATTAATGTAAATTAAAATATTATACAGTTAGATTTGCGTTAATTACAGGATTTTAAGTTGAACTTTCACACCCATTAAGCTATAGCTAATACATCAACACCCTCGATTATTGTTCCTATTTTATTCGCCAAGTAACTCTAAGAATTGGACGGAATTAATATCATAAAATTAATTCTAAATAAGTATATTAGTTAATATCACAATTCATTAAATATTTAACTTAGCAAGAAAAGGCAGCTACAAAAAAACGGTGGCCTTTTGCGTGACTCCGAGCCAATCGGTCGCAAAAGCCACAAATTCGGGGGCGCTAAAGTTTTATTTGCGGACCGAATTGCCCGACCGAGACATACACGTGCGGTCCGCAAAAATGCCTGGTGCGCGAAAAAAAAGTTGCGAACCCGTAGATTTTTTTGTCAGTTCGCGGCGAAAGTTAGGTGGAGGCCAGGAGGATAAAGTGCGGAAGTAGCAAAATTAAAACAATCGTCTCGCCAAATTTTTGGGTCGTGTTTTCCATTTAGAAAGGCGCTCGGGAGCAAATAGTGGTTTGTTCAAGGAAAAAGGTTGGCCATCGCAATAGTGAAATTCGGTATCGCAAAATTGAAAAAAATAAATAATAATAAAATATTATTATAAAATCATAATTTTGTTTCAGCACATGTAAAATTGAACCTAGAACGCTAAGGTCTCAAGGCATCAGCCTTAGATTTAAGCCGCGTCTTGCGGGCTGGAGCGCATCTCATGCATATTATAACTAAAAAGATTAATGTTTTGGAGGCCTTATTTAGAGTTCTTTTTTCTTTATTTGTGTTAAAATAAATCTATTAAGTTAATAATTAAATGTGTTCATAAGAACGATAATGTTTTGAAATACATTATACATATTTAGACAAACCAAAAAGAAAAATTGAGTATCCCACAAAGATATATTAACCTAGCAAAGAATCATGACATTTTGATCGAAATGGAAAAGAAAGAGCTTCTACTAAATAAACAGTCTTAGCAGCTTCTTCTTCTTCTCTCTTTTCTTGTCTTCTCTTCTTCTTCTCTTCTGTCTTCTTCTTCACTCTGCCTTACTTGAATCCAATCTCACATGAAAGATACAAAAATGTTATGGTGAAAATTAATTGGTCATGAGCCTAATAACTGGATTTTTGCTGCATCTAGCATGATTTAAAGTGACCATGCTCCA